ATTCAAAGAAATTATTAGAATGCAGCAATTTTGTAGAGTTGTTTTCATGAATTTTCAACAGATTCGCAGGTCCCAAGTTTAGCAAAGAAATCAGTGCTGCAAAGTCTTTTCTGCTTTGGTACCCATAGACTCGTCGTAAATTAAACACTCACTTCAGTTTTAAGCCAAATTACCGATGGAACATTTTCCTGTCCCGTCATACCAGTTTTTGCTTGTAATTGTCGGGTTTCAGTATTAAAAACGTTTGTGACATTCGGTCTCGTTCGGTGAATACGTCCTGAAAATCTGCAATCATCTGCCACTGTCATCTATGAAAAGGTGAACATGGCCTGTCTCGGGTGATTCCGCGTTTGCCGTGATACAGAGAGCACAATTCTTTTTATTAAGACCTCGACGGTAACACCTATAAATGACAGAATGGTCAGTATAAGAATATGGAAAAAAATACTCTGGCGGTATGGTATATGGACAGATACACAAGAGATCAGAATGAATAACTTGATGGAAAATCTAAATTACCGTTTTCAAAAGCCTTACGGTTTATGTACTGAATGATCTACGAATTAACGCCTAAAACATGTTGAATAAGCACTGAAAATAGATCATTGTAAGATTGATTACTGGAATAAGTTTTGTGCATAGTTTGCTCTAAAAGCACACAGATCGCTGGCGACGAAATCTTATTCACAGATAATAAAAGAACATTGGTCAAGTGTTGCCGCATCAATGGGTATTTCGCCGAACATGCACAGCCACATCATGACTCTTGCTCAAGTGTAGAACAGTGAAAACGTTAATTCATATCGTCAGCAAATATATAGTTTAAGGATCAACCGTTCACTGAGTGCTCGGAGATAATAATTTCCTGAATCGCTATACCCTCTTTTATAACATTCCAGGACGGCTTTCTCAAATTGCATGTTTGCTCTGACGATGAACAACGTAATTTGGATGCAACTTCGGCAGTTTTACCGTTTATCTGTTTCGCTGTCGATGACCACTGAAGGGTTAGTTTAACGAAGACAAAACTGAAGCTCTCAGAAATACTTCGTTTCAAAAATTTATTTTATGTAAATGTAAACTTGCCATAAAATACATTCTGTAAAATTAACATTCAAGTTCCATTTCAATTACGGTGACGAAAATGTTGAATCGGCCAGTCACTCAATATTAAAATAGCTTCGTCTCCATTTTTCTGCTCATTACCTTAGTTTTGGTCTCCATTTAATCTTGAGGTGTGTTTTCAGCGAGATGGCATGAATCGATCGCAGAGGTAAGTTAAAAAATACTGTTAGACATTTTACGCCATTCATCGAAAGGTAGGTTGGCGCAACATTTGACAAGCCGCTCTCACCTGAGCTTCTCGAATGAATGTAGTAGGACACCAAAAACCGTGTCAACGTATGGTACATTGTAAAAGCGTCCCATTTCGTGCCACTCGACAAAGAACACTCGAGCCTAAGTTGGCAATTTTTAATGAGTTACAAGCAACAGATACAAGCACAACAGCACGGATTACGAACTCATGAGGGATGCACTGAATAAACGCAACGTCGTCAGTGGTGATAGTGGTGGTGTTCGTGATAGTGCTGATGTTCGATGACGACTCTGTCGCTGTCGTCCACAAAACTGTGTGACATGTGATTCAAGCCAGCGTGCTCGAAACATCGCATTCTTGCGACGTTGTGCCTTTCGGTGCGTTTCTTGCACTCGTTCACAGAAAAAATCTGCGAAGAGGTAGACAAATTCCCTCTTAACACTTGGCTGCCATGGCCGTGATTCAGCTTTGACAAAAAGCTCTTGCCGGCCGAACTTTTCTGCGGAAACGATGCTGCTGCTGCAGCCGCAGCGGCGCATTTCGTCCGGTCGATGGACTTGCAGCATAACGGCACGGCTTGAAACGAATCGTAGTTAACGTTTGCAATGTCGTGCGGCTTCGCCCTCTCGTAGAACGACTGTACAGGGACGTATCTTGTGAACTGAAACAACGGCGGACAATGACAATGCCTGTCACAGTGTCTGATGTGGTGCACGACGCTAGTCGAACAGTCGTGTTTGTTGCTGCAACAGTTTTCCAGTTCGGACAAGTTCACATAGTCGCGGTATGTACAAGACATGCACGGCTTTGGATTCGGCATGCACGTCGGACTGAAACTGACCACCTTTCGCCTGGCCGCTTTTTGCGACGAATGGTGCTGATTTGATTCCTTCAACACGTGGAATTTACTGCCTTTTTTAAGTTGTGAAGGGTTACACGTGTCCTGTTCGCGCTTTTGCTCCTTCGACTGGTCAGCGATCGAGTTACCGGAAGATGTCAAAAAATGAGATATTTTCGGTTCAGCCTTGTGCGCCAAATTTTCAGGATCCGGTGCCACATCCGGGACGACCGACAACTTGATTTTGAAAGCGCCCACCGGATATCCGTTTCTTAAACTGTCCTTGTTGCTCACTCTATGAATTGGCAGCTTCGCGTTACCTAGGACTTCATAAATTGAGCGCACCAGACTCATGATGTCCTAAACAGCACAGTCAAATTCATAATAGTACTGGAACGGTATCGATTTAGTAGAAATACTGTCCACCTGCAACATCTCGTCGTAGTTCAGTTACATAAGCTGTTTCTTAAAAATCGTAAAACCTTTGACCTTTCACTGTTACACTCAAACGTTACAGCATCTGTACGTTGAAAGAAAAGTAGCCTAGAAAACAAAATCCTAAGCGATATGCAAAACGGTCCGAAGTTGAACAATACATCTACAGCAGAATCACACTGTTCCAACGAAGCGCCACATCTAATCACATTGCTACGCCATTACTGAAAATTGCTTTCCTCATACTACTGCTTTCGCAACATCTTATGGTCAGTAATTTGTGAAATGCAACCAGAAGTTGAATTTTTACTTTCGACTAGTTACCTGGAAGTGGGAAGAAAAGGGGAAATAATCGATTACTCGCGGTCCTAATCAGAAGCATCGAAAACAGCCTAGCGAGCAAAACTGATTCGACAGATAAATGGCGAAAACAACCTAATTTTTAAATGACTATTATAACTGTAATTTTCTGAATTGTTGACAGGATGAATACGGCTCTAAAATAATTCTCGTAAAAATATTAAACTGCCAAACTCGAAAAACAAAGCAAAAAGAACTTAGAGACAGAAGAGGTGAGGGCCCATAAACGACTAAGCTAGAAATTCGGTGTATAAATTCTTCCACTGTTTATAGGTGCAAGTCTATGAACGCAATCAGTTAAACAAAAAGTCACATAACAGCTGTTAGCTGTGAAGGTGAACAGGAACATGCCAAACAACCGACCGGTCGATGAAACGACAATGTACCCTGAGAATATGAGCATTTTTCTCCTGTGAGTTAGCTCCATCTGATAACAGCGAAAAGATCGTTAGCAACAAAGAACTAATCTCTGGTCAGCAACACTGATATGTCTTATTTACAGCGAACAGCGCATGGACAAAGCAACCGGAGGCCACTGAGCAATTTTGATAGAATCAAGCAAAGGTAGGCAGAAAATCATGCCAACACCGTTGAAGCCGTATTGCTGGTTAATCATGACAAGGCATCACTTATGCAAACATTTTTCTATAGGACACCGGAACTGGTCCGTTATTATCTGTGCAGATGACGGAGAGGAAAAATAGCTGCCATTTACGAAAACAAAGTTCGACGACAAATACACTTTCACCTCAAGTAATGAATAGAGTTAATATTGATGGCCAAACTTAAACGGTTTTATTTTAACCCAGATTGAAACTGGGATAGGAGAGATAATAAATCGACAAATATAAATGCACATTCACACAATTAAAATATTTCATAAAATCTCGTTTCTGATCTCAAACGTTTCTTTGAATATTCAACCTTATGAAAAAATCAAAGTTGTGGAAATATTGCTCAAACCTATGTAAATTCAAACCTCTGCTGTTTTTCGCCTTCGAGCTGATCAGTTAAATAAAAACTACTGGCTATAAAACGATTAAGCCAAAGTCAAACAACTACACCTAAGTTCAAAGTATTCCATTCCTAGGGTCAATAACAACATACGAAACGAATAAACGCATAACTCCAACTGAATTTAACGACGTTCTCAAAGCGGGCTCCTTGAACCTAGATGCCTATGTGAAAGTTAAATGAACTGCAGATCTAGGGATGTTAACATCTGCATCACCAGATGAATCTCGTATAATCTTATCTGCTAGAGCAATCACCTGTTCGTCATCCATGATGTTTCAGAAACCAGTACTCTTAATACGCTTTCGTCAAACATGGAATCATCTGCCATGAGCAGGCGATTAATCGCCAAACTCTATTAAACCAAATTTCACGGCGCACTCTGCCTTGTGCTTTTTACTAGATGTTTATGGGATATTTAAACAAGTCGCGCTCCACAATGTTTTATTACCTGCAGGGAAGGAATTCAACTTGCACCATTTTCAAAAATTTCTCATCCAACCACATGAAAGCAGAATTTCGTTCATATATTTAAACGGAACATCCGTACAGAGTTCAG